TCAATTTAAACATAGAATAAATTAAGGTTCTGGTTCTTTATTTGTACCCGTAGGTAGATTTTGTTTCTCTAATAAAAGGACTAATAAAAGTAAAAGAACACCCTGCTCCGTCAAATCTCAAAATATTTTTTGCTAATGATGTAGCTTTTGGACAGACAATGTTGTAGATAGTCTCGCCTGAGATGTACAAAAAAACGAACAAAACATACAATATTTCACAGCTCTCTGCAAATCCATAATTTTGCTTTCTGTTTTAAAGTGGAGTTGCACAAAGAAAGGCTTTCTGTCATGTGTCAAAAATACTTGAGAATTTGGCTTTTTGGGGTTCTGTGTTTACTCTAAGCTTGAGCCTCCATGTTTAAAGTAGTTTCATGACTTTCTAAGTTGACTGTTCTGCAAACATGACCCACCACCACAGGGGTATCAGTATGCAAAACCATCCTTTCCACTGACCTTGATGCAAAGGATATTGGAAAGGCATTACTTTCAAAGTCGTTTGGTCATTAGATTTTGAAATCTGCCAATAAAGGCCTGTGGGTCACGTCAGTCAGATCCCAATCTCTCCAGTCTCTCCAGAAGCATTAGACAGTAGCTGTGGACTGGGACAGGGCAGTCATGTATTATTCAGGATCCTGAGCAGTGTTCAGTAGCTGGGGCTTTAGGATTCTCCCACAGACTAACATGTACTGAGACAGTGATCAGTGACTCCAACAAAGAACTTAATTGAGCTGAAACAGGACCTCTGTTATCAGTGGCATGGATCATTTTGCATGTGATCTGTTTCCTTTATATGACTGTCTAGGGCAGGAAAAGTTACAATTAGTTTAAATGGAGTCATGGGATACAAACTGAATACTTTAAGAAAAATGTTTACTTTACTGCACTTTGATATTATAATACTTTATTGAATCAGTTTTGGTTGATCTCTAATGTTTTGTATGTAAGTTACACGTGTATTTGTTGACAGTGCAGGCTAACACACACTGAGCTTTAAAGTGCCTTGTTTGTGAGCCAATATTTGCATTTCTTACTTTATCATGTGACCAGGATCAGAAAGTATAATGCAGAGTTAAAGGATTACATTTATATTGTGTATTACTTCCTGCAATGCTTGAAACTGATTGCCTCAAGCGGCTATGGACAGTGATTTCTGAACTTTGATCAATGAGATATAAGCACAAACCGTAAAATATGCATGCATCGCTCTCCTGTAAATCCCTTGTTTGTGTAGCAATCAACTGCTTTCAGACTAACTAACTAAGGCTCCTACTTAAGTCAATCTCATCTCACTTGGTTGTTAACTCTCGAATGTCCGTGTTGTGGTATCAGACCTTGACCCTAGCTGGACCTGGCTTGCTACCTTTTGCTTAATGATATGTTGTTGACACGTTATAAATGACCAGGTGAAGGGATAAAGGGCATTGTTACATAAGAAATAGGACGTTACAATTGTATGACCTTTCCTTTGATGAATCTGCTCTGAACGAAACTTGCACAGTGGCACTTGCTCATCAATGCTTGCTGTCAGACCTATTGGGGTTAAAAAGGCTAAACATGCAAGTTTGAACTATTATGATTATATATAGATTGTCAATGGAACATCAGCCCCCTGGGTAATATTAGATATAGAAGGTTTAGTGGTGTTTCATTGGTAATCTATGTGGCTGTGCCTGGAGTGTTTGTATATAACCTAAAATAGATTTTAATTTAATTGTTTTTATCAGGAGGTCTGCTCTCAAGGGGAATACACACACTCTACATTCCTAGACTTTCATGTTTAATGCATGAGATGTCCAGTCTCGGCTGTACAGTAGAAGTCTTCACAATGATATCAGATTACGCTGCGTTCACCTCATGCTAAAGAACACACACACACACACACACACACACACACACACACACACACACACACACACACACACACACACACACACACACACACAACGCAGGAATTATTACCCAAAACAGGTTCAGTCTCCTCAGACAATCTGTCCCATTCTCCGGTCCAAGCCAGCTCTTTCAGAGTAGGAGGGATGGAGGAGGTTTTGATGCGCATCACAGACGTAGGTTGCCTGCAGGGTCTCTTTTCTCTACAATTACTGCTTTATGAGGCTGGTTAACTGAAGCCAAGGGAAGAGAGCAACCAAGGCAGAGAGTGTGAAGATGTCTGGAGTGCCGGTATCTGTTCGTTCATCACTCTTGATTTTTTCCCTTTCTTTGCAGTTTGGCATTGAGAGCATCCTTTTGTATCCTTGTTTCTTTCACACGCAGATCTTGCCTCTTAACAACTTTTCTCTCTTTTGTGTCCTATTCAACTCCTCAGACGGTTCACAGACGGGGTTCATAAAACAAAGTCATGTTGCAAAGACAAGGGAAAAGCAATGTAAGATGCTAAGACTCCCAAAGAGTCACAAATACATCATGAACACATGTATAATGATGTACTTACACAAAATGGGCACATCTGCTGAAACGATTGTGCGATATGATTGAAACTTTCTAAACAAATACCAAATGGACCTTGTTCTTTGAACAGCTTTGACATTTCTTACACACAAATGCAAAGTAATGGTGTGTTCACACAGTAAAACAGTACATCTTTCTGGTTTATTCTATGAACACACATACATTTGTTTTCTCAATTTGAAACATCCACGGACAAATACTGTTCTAATCACATCTCTCCTTTGACGTGATATGCAATCACACTTAATAGAATACAGAAATACAAAAATGATAAAAAGGAAAGAGAAAAATTTAAGGAAAGCAAAATCATTTGCAGAATCAGAATACCTTTTAATGGTCCCACAAAGGGGAAATGTGCAGACATCCAAATGATCCACCCACACAGTAGCAACAACCTCTCTTCCACTTCTGCTGCCACTTGGCAAAAATTACAAAAGACCAGTCTATATGAGATGTAATTATGTCAGCTGCCATCAAGAGCATTTACAACATATGGATCTATCATATCATAAATTGTCTTTATTGTATTCTAGCCAGTATAATAACCTTTTTTTATATATCTTGACAAATGAAGGGTGAGTCATTATTCAACCGCACGATACTTGGTAGACATGGCCTTTATATTCCATTAGCATCTTTTTAAGAGTATTTCTCTTTCTTCCTCCTGTGCTTGTCTTCTCCCATTTCATCTTTTTGAAGTCGGTAGATACAGTGCTGTGTGAGCATCACTGTGTGAGAGAGAGATGATCACACAGCCATCTGGATCCCTGCTCTCTTCACTGGCTGCTGCTCTGTGATAACATGAGCTCCAAGCTCTCACAATGTAATATCCTAATAGTCACTTTGTTTTACAGAGCAAGACTGAGCAGAGGGGAGGACTTAAAAAGTGTGAGAGAGATGCAGTAGATTGATAAACAATGGAGAGGATATCACTTTACTTTTCTTTTTCCATTATTTACACTGGGATGTGAAACAACGGGGGGAAATCATCTGAATTGCAAAGCTGCTTAGCGGTATGATTCAGTTGGGGGATTAGAATCTGCTCTCTCCCCCACTTCAAGCACTGGGGTTGGAGGTGTGTGCGTGTGTGTGTGTGTGTGTGCGTGTGTGCGTGTGTGTGTGTGTGTGTGTGTGTGTGTGTGTGTGTGTGTGTGTGTGTGTGTGTGTGTGTGTGTGTGTGTGTGTGTGTGTGTGTGTGTGTGTGTGTGTGTGTGTGTGTGTGTGTGTGTGTGCGCGTGCGTGCGTGCGTGCATGCACACACTGGAGAATCACAATCTGGTATTGCTCCATGTGAAAATGACCTACTTCCTGTCAGCTCACTCTCAAATGGATTGCTGTTTTCTGATGTGTCGGAGGAGAGAGGGGGAGGTCCTCCGAGGGGTCTGGGGGGGGGGGAGAAGTTGACGTGGCACGGTTAAATGAAAGAAAAGGAGGTGGCTCCCGGACCCGTAGTGTAGAATAAATATTGTCATGTGTGTGAAGTGCAAATTCGATATTGTGTAGTCACCTGTGTATACAGTATGTGTGTGCTCGTGCAGTAAAACAGGCGTGTTGTGTGATGTGTGCCGCGCTCTCTCTGAAGAGTTAATTACCCCAGATGAGAGGCCGACGAGAGACTATCATAAAGCCAATATTTGATGGGGTGGGCCTCACCAGATGCTCAGCGGTCGGTTCATTTGGTTTGTAAAATTATTGCTATGAGAAAATACATTTTATATGGCTTTTTTCTAACACCTGCTCTATATTTATACTGTGCCGTGAATAGACATGAATACAAATGTTTACATATTCTTCATAATCTGTCTCTTTAGGGTCAATTCCTTTTACTTAAAGGAGTGACAAGTGACATTTTTTATGAAATTGTATCAAATGACACTGTGAAAACAATGTAACAATGTATACAAGGTGTTTCATAATAATATGTTGTGGGAGGAGACCAAAAATAGCGCCATAATAATAATGTTGCTCAGTATTTGCTGTACGTGTCAATAAACTACTCTTAGGTTGAGGTGAAAATATGTCAATATATTGTCTTAGACTTTCTTTCCGTGACCTGAGCCTCAACATAATGTTGCACGTCAGCACTTCGCTCTGAAAAAAGAATGTCCAACCATACAAATAATCAAAGTCTTGAGACGACAAATGACGGGCCTTTCAGAAAACTTTAGATTTTCCAGTCAGACCTTTGAGACGATATATTTAAGTAGTTAACTGGTATTGTACACTAACAGATTATAAAGTTTTTTACTGTATGATTGGAGAATTGGTTAAATCCACCTGCCATTGAACAAAATATACATTAGGAAACATTGTAATGTATTGAATTCCCCTTTACTAACTTACCTGAGAGTGTATGAACTCCTCTGTTAGTGTATTAATTCAGGTCATGAGTAATGCAGGTATGCACTAAATCCCTGTGACTAACTGGCTGATCGGAAGGTGAATTAATTTAATCCATCCTCATAAACGTGCGCCTCCCTCCCTCTCTTACTCACACATGCTCTTTAATTTTCCCTTCTCCCTGTATTTTCCAGTACCCCAGGACCTGTCTTTGGAGGAAAGAGATGAGCTGTCGAACATACGACGCAGGAAAAAAGAGCTTCTTGATGATATTGAAGTGAGTAACGGTCCAAGCATGATGTTTTTATTTGTTATCATAGGTAGGGCTGGGTGTTATTATCAAATGGTGTTGTCTGAAGACATACATGATGTAATACTGAACAAAGTTATTGGCATTAAACATTAGTTCAAAAAATTTGTTTTTGTCCATATATCAGAAAAGACTTAAGCCTCCCAACTGTCCATCATCTTATAATGCCAGATAATCCTTGTCTATCTATCTATCTATCTATCTATCTATCTATCTATCTATCTATCTATCTATCTATCTATCTATCTATCTATCTATCTATCTTACTATGGTTTTGTAATATTGAGTAAAACCAAATCACCCAGCCCTAATTATAAGGAAAGCTGTCATTAGGATGCCCTTGAATGGTATGTAACCTTTACATGATGAACCTCTTCAAAGGTGCTGCTAGATTTATGGTGTCTTCCTCTGTCTTTTTATTAGAATGATTAAAGCTCAAATCATAGTCGTTCATTTTTTGTATCTTTCTCTGCAGCGGCTGAAGTTTGAGATTTCCGAGGTAATGACTGAGATTGAGCAGCTTACTTGCGTGGGGGAGAGGTGAGTGTTTTACATTATAACTGCTGATTATCTTCTTGATTACTGGATTAGTGGTTTTTATCAATAAAATGTCCACAGCAATTTCCCGAAGCCGAAGAGGACATATTCAGACATATTCATTTTGCCAACACCCCCATAAATTCAGTTAAATATTATATAAAATGAAATAAATCCGAAAATAATACCAATCAGCAAGCACATGTAGCAGCACATTTTTCGCCGTTTTTGCTAGAAATGTTCCTTAAACATTAATCAATTATCAGAATTCTTATTTTCTGTGAAATGTCATATCATAGTGAAAAACCAGCTACCATTATTTTACAGAGCCAATGAAGGGGATGTCTTCACTTTGTTTGTTTTTTCATGATTAACAGCGTGAAACTCCAAAACTAAACTGTGAAAATGAACCCATCCTCACATTATGATTAGCTTGAATCAACAAATGTTTGGCAGACTGCTTGACTTAAACCAATAATCAACTATTGTCAATGTTGTGGATTTGTTTCAGTCAGATTTGATCGATTTATTGACCAAATGTTTCAATACTAGTCCATTATGTTGTTATATTGCCTCCTCAATTGCTCTTCAAAGCCAACGATGTTTTTGCTCTGGTTGGAGCCTTACTGTCCCCTGTGTGTGTGTGTGTGTGTGTGTGTGTGTGTGTGTGTGTGTGTGTGTGTGTGTGTGTGTGTGTGTGTGTGTGTGTGTGTGTGTGTGTGTGTGTGTGTGTGTGTGTGTGTGTGTGTGTGTGTGTGTGTGTGTGTGTGTGTGTGTGAAGCCCTCTTTGTTTTAGGAGTGAAGCGGGACAGTCCCTTGACTAAACATTAGAAAAACAGTCTGTATTCAAAGGCTCTCATTCGATTGGTTGATGAGGTGGAGTGAGGCCGTGTGTCAGGCTGTGTCTCAGGTGCAGCTGGCAAAGGGCTTTGGGCTATTTTGAGCACACAGGAAGCGTAGGGAGCATGCACCGACACACAAAGGTGGGGATTTCCCTGAGGGCTGCATGCAAAATGTGTTTTTAAAGAAGAGCAACATCCAAATGGCTGCAGGATGTGTTAAACTGCAGAGGTGATGCTAAGTCACATGCCGTCATGTTTATCTTTTTTTCAGGTTTAACCCACTGTACTCAGTCTTTGTTGAAAGAGTAGTAGATAAACAAAGTCACTTAGGCAACATCCTGGATGAACCCACCCTAAAGTGACCGATTCAACAAACAAAGCATCCTGGGGGTACCACACCCTTAACTGTCATTAAATATATGTTTCTGTGTGTTTCTTATTGCAGTAAGACAACACAAAGAAATAAACAGATCGCCATGGGGAGAAAGAAGTTCAATATGGACCCTAAAAAGGTTTGCCCTAAATGAATAATTGTTCAACTCAATAAGACTGTTGCTGTTGAATTACACTTCTAAGCATTGAATCAAACTTTAATATATAGCTTAGCAATCCATCAGGTCTATTAAAACAGACCAAAAGAGGAAACTAAAGTGCAAGCGTGCACTTCTTTTTTAAAACAGGGGATCCAGTTTCTTCTGGAGAACGATCTTCTCCAGCACACCCCAGAGGAGGTCTCTCAGTTCCTCTACAAAGGCGAGGGGCTCAACAAAACAGTCATCGGGGACTACTTAGGGGAACGGTGAGCTCTCCAGTTTTTATCTCTGTTTTTCCTCCACCTCTTTTTCCTCTCTCTGTCAGATCTGCCCTGCATGTGCTTAGACCGGGACATAAAGCTCCAGGAAATTGGTGGTCTGGATTTATGGAGCGGAGCAGCGGCGGGAGATGGTGCCAGTAAAATAACTAAGCTGACATGTGGTTCTTATCGAAGGGGAATCAATGGGGATAAACAACTGGGATTTCATGCAGCCTCCAAACACAGGGACTTTCTGTCTGACACTGTTGCTGTGACATGGCAGCATTTACTTTCTACCTTGATCCCCAAAACCTATGAAATCACTGAACTTCATTTCTGAAATGAATCCCGTATTTATCGTGCAGTGTCTGTTTTTTCTGTGTCTGTTTGAATGGAAAGAGTGTAAATGGTTAAACATGTGTGACCCTCCAGGGATGACTTTAACCTCAAGGTCCTCCAGGCGTTTGTGGAGCTTCATGAGTTTGCAGACCTCAACCTCGTACAAGCCTTACGGTGAGTTATCGACCAAATGTAGAAATGTGTTAGAGGAAATGCAGGTGCGGGTGTCTTCCTAAAGCTGCTGGAGAGAAAATGAAATGTGATCCAGGAAGTCCTGTTTGAGCTTTATGTTCAATAATCTGCATAGTCAAATAATCAAACTGAGAAGGGGATATATGACAACTTCTTTGCAGATATTATTACGCTGAAGGTCTTTGCATTGGCATTCCCACTGCATCAACACAGTGGTCTCATTTTAAATGAAGGGTATAATGGCATTGGTTTCTCGCAATGTTTATGATTTCAGGAATTGTTTTGTTACATTTTGTTTTAATTAGCACATTACCAATTGTCCAGTTGATGGACTATGGCCGATGTGAGCTTTCTATGTTTATTTTAATATTTATAGACTATGAATCGGATGTTGATTTAAATGCTTTTTACATGTGTGACTTAACATTAACTTTGATATGAAATGAACCAGGCAGTACTTTCCATAACATTGTTTTGGAAAGTACAACTTCCTGTTGAACAGTCAGTAAAAAAAGGCTTTTTATGTTGTAGCCAAATCATTCAGTTTGACGTTAAAAACCTTTTTAAACACAAACACTCTCTTTCTAAAGTCAATGTAAAGAAAGTCAGCTTACTATTCAGTGGGATTTTTACATTTCCATTGAATATCCACATACTGTTAAATATATTTTCATCATATTTTATTATGATCTGTAACTCCATTATCCCTCTCTGTCTCTGCCGTCGTAGGCAGTTTCTGTGGAGCTTCAGACTTCCTGGCGAAGCCCAGAAGATTGATCGTATGATGGAGGCGTTTGCATCCAGGTACTGCCAATGCAATCCTGGCGTCTTCCAGTCCACAGGTACCACTCACACACACTCTCATACACACACTCACACACACACACTCACACACACAAACACACACACCGCAGCAGACACATCAGTCAGACTCAGCTACTGTAGACAGTCCAGGACAAATAATATGGGCCAGCTCAGCCTCGGATCAATGTTTCTGACTGTCTGTCTTACCTAGACATCTGGACCTGTTCAAGCTTCGTAAATCTTTAGCATGTGTCCATAACCCTGGGAACTCTTCTTTAAACACTGGAGAATATGAACACCTTCTGACTTCATAGGTATCTGCATTCACAGAATCATAACTACAGTAGACCAACAGTCGTAAACTTCTTTGTTCTGCAGCATAGTTAGCAGCTTCCTCAGTAATCGCAGTGTGATCACTATCCGTGGCTCCTGCACTGATAATGAAATCGATCACTGGTCAATTTGGTCATTAGTGGCGTCTCGGCCCTTTGCACATGGTCTGCTGCTCCTGTGTATACCGCGGGGAGCCTTGAAGAGGACGTGGGTGACAGCTCAGGTCATGAATATTAATGTGGTGCAGTGGTGACACACCCTGACTTAGTTATTGGTCATCTCTCAGGACCGATGGCTCAGGGTCATAAATTACAGAGCAGTGATGCTTACTGGGGCGGTTAGTGTGTGGATGGGATTGACGATGGTTAGCATGAGTTATGATGTGGACTCAGAAGAATGTGTGTGTGTTTGTCTGGGTGTGTGTTCATGACTGCAGAGACTTCCAAAGGCCTTGGTGGGCTCCAATAGGGGGCTCTTTGTTGATTAAACTCTCCTTTTTATTTGGCAGAGTCCTAACTTGTGGTAAGAAATCTTTTGATGGATTTCTGTCTAATAAATCACAAATCATTTCTGCCATAATTTCAATACCATTATAATAAACAAGGTAAATACCTTCCACTGTAGAGCTCACGTATTGATAAGAGCTCACATTGTGAAAATAAATATTTGAGTGTGTGCTCTTGTTTAGTTATTTATATTATGATATCAATACTTTAGAAAAGACAAAACTTTAATATTTGCGTTTCGGTTATATTTGAATTTAAAAAATAAAATGTAGAGACTGCTCGGAATATAGTAATTTAAGATAGACCTGGTGACAAAAGATCACTAGCTTAAACAGAAGAGAAATCCTATTCAAACAGGATTTCACACGCACGCACGTGCGCACACACACACACAGATGTGGGGTTGCATTGTATTGTATATTTCCCAATGACACATACTGTATAATTACCTCCACAGACACCTGCTATGTCCTATCATTTGCCATCATTATGCTGAACACAAGCCTGCACAATCCCAACGTCAGAGACAAGCCCCCCGTGGAGCGCTTCATCTCCATGAACAGAGGGATCAATGAGGGGGGAGACCTCCCAGAGGACCTACTCAGGGTAAGAGCTTTGACTTTATTAGTCAGTTAGCTATGACAAATGTATCCAATGTAGCCCGCATGGTTAAATAAACCTATAGGAACATCTCTCTTTGCAAAGCAGAGAGTCACACTTCACTAATTGAGATGTTGCAGCTCAGCAGAATTGCTTATTCTCCCCCGATACTGATGCAAATAATCTTTTGTGATCTCTCAAAGAAAAAGTGCATAAAAGCAAGTTCATCCATCCCCACATAGTGTACGCTGATGTCTTTACCAAAGTGCCCTTGGTTTGTTATAAGTAGAAAAATACACTTTGTTAAAGCTCCCAGAGTCATTCATCTAAGGAATGGGTTGAATGTTTTGAGATAGAAGAAGTCTGGGAGTGTAAATGTGAACTTTAATGCACCTCTGTTTTTGTTTTTGTCCATCCAGAATTTATTCGACAGCATCAAGAGCGAACCCTTTAAGATCCCAGAGGATGATGGGAATGACCTGACACACACATTCTTCAACCCAGACAGAGAGGGCTGGCTGCTTAAATTAGGTTAGTGCTTATGTATGTGTGTGTGTCTTTGTGTCTCTGCACATTCCCCCTGCTGAGTGAAAGACATCCTGGATGACTCTATTTTGTTACTCTCCCACTTATCCTCATTACAACTGTGATTCTTTTCTCACAGCAGGGTGAAGTAAATATCACTCATGCTCACTAACGTGATGTATCCTGTTTTTAAATGCAGTGAAATAAAACAGATCATAACATTTTGTGTGGCAGAGAAAGATACAATTCATACACTTCAAAACAATTGTTGCAAGATGGTACTAAACTTTATTCTTTAAGTCTAGATGCATAAAACTCATTGGGTGTACAGTATTTTTATTTATGAACCCATATGAAGTCGGATACACACTTATGCACACATTCAATTATGTTTTAAGTTGCCGTATTTCTGCTATACTAATCTGAATAGCTGCAGAACTTATTTAAATATATTGTCACTCAAGCAGTTGCTGTTGTTATGGTTTTTGTTTTATTATAAGCAGGAGGTTATGTTTTTGCTTTGTTGCTTTGTTTGTCAGTAGGATTAAAGAAAGCTACTTTGATGGAAAGGCTTAGCCTGGGGCGATAAGAACCAAATAAACTTGGGAGGTGATCGAAATGAACCGGGGAAATGACATGCATTATTTTCCACTGCCCTTATGGGAGGTCAATGCTCTCCGTGTGCACTAGTTTTTTTTATGTTAACCTTAAAGATGTGCATTCTTGTCCCCTGTATTCAAAGTTATGTTAGTTCTTATCTGCTTTGTTGTGCAGTTATGAGTGTTACAGTAACAGAGTGCACAGAGTAGAGTCTGGTGGGAACCTACAGAGAGTGACTCTGAGTTGTTTATTGCCTTGACCAGTTGGTGTTGATTAAAGAAGATTTATCTATGAGAAACTGTAGCCTGAACATCCGTAAAACAAGGTTACATGCTTTTCACTTGCCCTACACTACCTCACACTAGGATATTCATGTATAAGGTGTGCGTATCTCACCGCAAAACATTTGACAGTATGTGTGGACAAAAAGTTACAGGCATGATTTGTATTGATTGCGTGCACATCGACATTATCATAATGTACTTTGGGAAGGAACACATGCTTTAGATATTCTATATGTGCCAGTAATTAGATGTGGTTGCATGCTTTCCTAATGAGGTAATAGTTTTATTTGGCCATTTTATCCGGTTTGTTAACACATGTTTTTGATTTGGACCTCGCTCCCTCGCTCTGCTCTCACACCACATAAAAGAGATTCATTTAAGTATTTTTTTAAACACTTTTAATTGTTGTTAGAGATTGATATATTGTGAACATAAAACTGTTTAACAGCCAGGATACATTTCGTTAAAGGTTAAAGTTCAAACGCACAGCAGGTGATCAGTTTTATTACTATATTCACACACACACACACACACACACACACACACACACACACACACACACACACACACACACACACACACACACCTGGCTCCGATCTGCACATTCCTCTCACTCTGTGTAGCGTCTCTTTAGTCTCATCATAACAGCGAGTACGAATGCAAATAGCCCCATTGTGGCTCACAGGCCTAACATGATTACATTCTAGTACAATTCCTCCCTGGAGCCATTTCCCGCACCAGTTCTCGCTATAATATTTCTAATTTAACTCGCTAAAAATAAACCCTTGAGGATGTGAAGGACTAAATGCAGGTTTTTTTTTTAGCAAATCTCTCTGTACACCGAGCGGAAATTTGGCCACGCTTATTCAATACCCAGAGTCTATTGAAATGTTAGGAAACCCGGCTTTGTAATTATGTGTGGCCCATATAGGCTCATGTGAGGAGGCACAAAAACAGGAAGGAAATGCTGCAGTGAAAAGTGTTGTCTAATCAGGAATGTTAGGTCAAAGCACGCTCACAGGAAATTATCAGAAAGTGCTTGTGACATGTTTTGATTCAAGTTTTGTGCATGTGTGTGTAAACTTTGCATTAGATTGTCTTTCTCACAGCTCACATGCAGACACATCATACATGTATCTCCCACCAGGAAAGCTTCCTCAGTGTCAGCAAATTCTGTTTTCCTCTAACGCTGCAGTCACTGCCAGAGGCGGAATCCCGCTTCAAACCAACTTGTTGGACATTAGCGCTCGCTCTCAGTCTTTGCTTTTTTTTGTATGTAGTTTGCAGAAACCAACACGTTGCTCGGGGGCGTCGTGTGTGTGTTTTTGGGCTTATATGTCTACATGTGTGCTCCTTCAGGGGTGCTTTAGGTGCCGCATTAGGTTCATATCAAGTGCTGTTTTCTCACCGCTCCTTACAGCCAATGGGCTTTTATCCTGTTGCCTTTTAAAAATGAATAAGCAAAGTCAGCAATTATATATCAGTTGTGTGAGTTATCATTTAACAAAGCTGCACGTTAGAAGAGATAGTGATGGTTGATTGTAGTCACCTACTATTACATTTTTTTCTAAACTGTCTTGCCTTTATACTTTGGAAAGTGACCCTCTCTTTATTGCACGTTGACATTTGTACATCCAACCTAATCATAAAATCAAAAAAGCAGCACACAATGTTAAACTGTGTTTGATAGTATGAAACCCTCCTTTATGTGTAGGTTTGGCCATAGATACATAAACTGTTGAAACTTCAATTGTCAATGGCGTGTCCTGGGCATTAAGTACATTTAAGTATTAATGTGTGTCTAATCGCCACATGACAGGATCATGTGGTTGATGTGGAGCAGTCTTTCTTACACAGGAAATTCAATTATAGCTGTGAGCTAATGAACAAACATGTTGAAGCAGTTATTTAAAGTGCTTTGTTTGGTCTTTTTTCATGGTTTGTAACAGGGCAGACGGTCTGTGCTAGAAAAAAAAGACATAAAGTAATAATTCATAAGATCTATATAATGCATACAAAATAACCGAGTGGATGGTGGTGGGCTTCGTTACTGCGTGTCACATCCCGGCTCTTTTTCCTGATGGGAGACAGCCAGTCTGTCACTGTGGCATTTGTGTGACTTCCTGTCTCCTCTTCCTCTTCCTGTCAGGGGGCCGAGTGAAAACCTGGAAGCGACGGTGGTTCATCCTGACTGACAACTGCCTCTACTACTTCGAATACACAACTGTGAGTGTTGCATGATGATGTTTTGATCTGTGAAGAGCCTCTCTGGGTCTCTAAAGAAGATGACTTGAATAAGATAAATGTAATGAATATTGTGGGGTTTCCAAATATAGATGGGAGAACGATTCTGAATTCAACCTGCCAATGTCCTGTTTAGCAATGCTTTAATGTTAGTCAGTTGACGTTAATAATGCCACTAGTACATGTGGAAAATTACCCCCCAAAAATCAGCCCTCTATGTGTTTTCATTTAAAAAATCTTTATAGTGTCCCCTTGTGAGTTGGTATTTGTCTATCCGTGTCACTTTCCGTAAGAATAAGTGTAAATGTGCCTCGTTGAAGATCTTTATCATTGCCTGTGTGTCCCCGCTAGCTGCTACATCAGCACTGTCCTCTCTCTACCCTGATATTATCCTGCGGGACACTATCATTATGTCCCGTCCTCTGGTCTGACTGTTCCACACAAACATTATCTGCTCTGTTAAAGAGCAGCAAGGATAAGAGGAGGATGAGGGGGGGCAAGGTTGATTTCCATGCTGGCAAAACATGTCACATATGATTTTATCCTTTTTTCTGATATTCTTTCTTGATTGCTTGCTTTTTTCTGCCGTTTATTAAACTGTCTTTTTGTATTTACTTGGTTGTTTTTCTTCTTCCACGTTTCTCCTTCAGGACAAAGAGCCTCGTGGGATTATCCCGCTGGAGAATCTGAGCATCAGGGAGGTGGAGGAGCCCAGGAAACCTGTGAGTGTTGCCTCTTTAAAGACCTCACCTGTAGAGTCTATTCTCCTCTGTTATAGTGTTTGGATGTCTAAAGTACAGGCATTGGCCAGTGTGCTGTCAACAGTATTACATAATCCAAGCCCTTCTCTTTGTCCGCTCTCCAGAACTGTTTCGAGCTCTATAAACCTAACCACAAGGGCCAGGTGATCAAAGCCTGCAAGACGGAGGCAGATGGGCGTGTCGTCGAGGGAAACCACGTGGTGTACAGGATATCAGCGCCCACGCCGGAAGAGAAAGAGGAGTGGATTAAATCCATCAAGTAAGACTCGCACAAGCACGCTTAAAGCAAATGTTTGACATTTTGGTAAACATGTTTTTCTTTTTTATACAAATATTAACTATAGAAATAAACCTTTTTTCAAAAACTCAAGTAAAAAAAAACATGTTCACCACCTGAGCATCCCAAAATCAAATCTGGACTAAAAGGATCCAGACAACACACTAACTTATATCTATACTGGACATGTCATTAAAAGCTTTGATTCAAACAGTAAAACAACAAAGGTATGTTTTCCTCCTGTCAGATACCATACATGCTGGGGCTCTCAGGAATATTAACCTTGCTGTGGGTGACCTAAATGCTGCTCTGTAATCGCCTGCATAAAGATGGTGCAATGTCAAAGAGAGTTGGCTCAGCAGAACAGAACACTTGTATACTGTAGTGCGATCCCCCCTCCTCCATACTCTCAGTGAGTATTCCCTGGAGAAACGTTGTTTGATTAGTCACTGCCTATAGCAGCCCAGGGGTGAGCCAGCAAACCCAGTAAATGTATCCAGGAGAGGAAGATCCAAACTGGGCTGACACACTGGCATCCTCCGAGGATAACGAGTTGCAGCTTGTGCTTCTCCAGAGGGGTCCAAAAGGATCTTGGGAGATAAAAGGAGTTTTATGGAAATGATGCTTTACCCCTCTCTTCTTAAGTGGAGATGATCACAGAGGTGTATCGGCATGCTTGAGTCACAAACACGCAGATGATGGTGGACCAATGGAAACAGTGGACTCTTAAATAAAAGTATTCTGTCCCATTCCATTAGATATATTACATATTTGTAAAGACAGAAATAGAAGGAATGTTGTTTGGAATTAGTCACAGCAGCACTTACTCCACAGAGGAGTTTTTGTTTCATGAAATTGGCTTGTGCAAATGGACAATGAGCATTACAAAAGAGCGGGATAGTAATCATGGACTCATTCTTCTGCGCGTGGCGTTGTAAAGAGAATCTGAGATATCCGCAGTGGGGGGTTGAGCCTCTTCTTGCTTTGTCCTGGTGCTAACAGGATTGAGCAGCCGTGAAACTGGGCTCCTCAGAAGAGCCCAAATGGCTTCCTGACGCACTTGCTCTCATTCTGCGCTGGCTTTCCATCTTTAAAAAAAAAAAGGGAGCGGGAGAATGCTGAAGAGCCAATAATCTTGAGCCCTCATTCAGACCTGCAGAATAGCGGGAGGTGTGTTTGTGTTTTTACTATGAGTTCTGGAGGATGTTCCAGCTGATCGGAGTACCAAGAAAAAACTTGGGAGGGGGGTGTTCCTCTTCAGAAACCATGGAAACCAAACTAGGTCACTGCACAAACTTTTTTTTTTTGATCTAGTTTAGGCAGGGGTTTGTATAAATGTGCCTACATTTCCATATCAAAGATGCTCGAGTCCCTTCTCTCATGTGGCCTTATTATTTATTTCATCACTGTCCTTTGATTGGCTTCTTCTCCAGGGCCAGCATCAGCAAAGACCCTTTCTATGACATGCTGGCCACCAGGAAGAGACGCATCGCCAACAAGAAGTGAAGAGGGACAATCTTCTCAACCTCCAGCTCCTCCATCTTTCTCTCCCACACATAAACTACACACGCTGAGAAGCTGGTTCACAAAAAAAAAAGACCCTGGATATGAACCTCAGTTTCTCCCCTGGACGGTGTGCACTGCTGGGGAGACACCCCACTGCTGAGGGGACAGCAGAGTTTCAGGAAACTCAAATGTGTGGACTCTTGCCTGGAGCAACACATGAACAACCAACAGCCAGTTTGTTTCTCCTCCATCTCATACACACCCCCTACCTCCCCCTCTCATGGCCATCACATGTTCTAGGTCTCTCTAAAGCACAACTGCCATGTTTCAGGTGCACATGCATGCATGTGGATTATTATCGACAAATATGTTTGTGTGTGTGCGCGTGTGTGTTTGCAGCAGTGTGCATGCTATCAATGCACACAGTCTACATTATGTAAGTGATGCGTTACCTCCACTGTGCTTTATGAGAAAGTCGTTGTCATTCAAAATCAGAGTTCAGATGCATGGTCAGCTACACAGGGAATGGAATGCGATGATAAATAGAGACATTTTGAGGATAAAGGGTGGAAATAGGAGACAGATGTAAACATGTGGTGGGTGGATCATTGCAGCGTAACCTCACCCGGACCATGTCATCTCACTCTGGATTCTTCTCTCCCGGTGCCATAGCTGAAGCCCTGCTGGGAGTAACCTCAGAAAACAGCGGTGGCTTACATTTAGGTTCCTAACACCGCATTACAGTCTTGAGTCAGCTGGGCTGATCTTTTATTTTTATTTACATGGAGCAGAGAATTTTGAAAAGTGCATACTTTTTATTTTAGTTGAGTAGAAAAGGAGCTTTTGCCGATGCTTGAGATTAAACCTTGCTCTTTGGGAGTAAATGTGTAATCCTTAAGATTGTATTCCTGGTCCATTTGAAATCCCAACCATCATTAATGTTAGTGACATCAAGTGGGGTTTAAAAGTGCAGCTAACATTAGAAGTCACTTTGTCAGAATTTGTAACTAAGTTGTATGTAAAGGCTGCAAGGCGGTCTCCACCAGCACCAATGAAAACTGAGATTTAGATTGGCTATTGCAGACTCAATGCTGACCAGAGAAAAAGACCAATATGATCTTAAGGATTTGAACTTTTACAAGTCTACTGGGTAGGTTTTATTTATGGCTGTGCAATGGCCCAGAAGGGTACCAGTCCGATTAAGCTTTTTTTCCTCTCTTGTCTTTGGCCTGTCAGTGAAGGTCGTATTGTTGTGATCCTGTTTGCATTTGGTTTGTAATCCTATTAATTCCTTGCTTGCTTTTGTGTTCCTCTTTACAGGTATATAAATAATTAAGTTATGTATGTATATATATAATGTATAGGTTATCTGGTCTCTTTGTTGTAGTATGCACACTCTGTGTAACATGTTTGAGCCTTCAGGCACCAGTTTGCATCAGCTGAAGTTTGGGGTCTTCTTTACAAAAGCCTTAAACCCAATCATAAGAAAACATACGAGGATGAGGAGGATAAAACTGACAATATTGGTAAATAACTGTGACGATGCTCTTTAAAAAAAGCCATGACTGATGAGTGAGGAAGAGGGTTGTATTTATGATGATGATAAAGATTATAGTGAAAATGATGTTTTGATGTTTGATGATGATGATTATAGTGAAGTAATATCAGTTAGGATGATGATGATGATGATGATGTCAAAACTATAAACAACAGTAGTTTTCTATGTGATTGTAAAATAAAATGAAAGCCTTGCGGTCAGGGCAGAATATTATCTTCTTATAATTAACTTATATTAACTTTTATATCCTCTGTAAAAGCTATCGGTCACGTTATACATTACGTGTATCTATATAAAGTATACATAAAGCTTACAGCAGTTGTATGGTGTATTATTTATTATTAATGCTTTTCTTTTCTTTTCTTGACCTACTTATTTGCATAAGTAATGAGCTGTCATTAATGAATTATAAAGATAGTTCTCGCGAGTTGAAAAGCTCTCTGAATGTAAAACATCTCCATCATGCAGAGCAGAAGTGTGAGATTCAACCTGGAAGAACATGAAGTGAAGAAACAGGAAAGGTAAAGAAAACATGTTGACATCTGAGTGGGAGAGAAGATTGAGAATGACTGAAGAGAGAGCGCCCTCTACTGTGTCTTTGTGTATTTCACAATGGTCAATAACGATAACGTGAATAAAACAACATCACTTTAATGATAATGAAGGATTACAGTAAGGGCTGGGATGGGGTTTGGGGTCAATACTAGCAAAGGCAGCCTTTCACAATTAAATGTTTCTAAATTACTTATAATAATTGCACTCAGATGACAATTAAAATACACTGCTTATTATTTTGGACATAATGTTCAATCTTATGCAATCCAATACAACAGCGCTGCCATGAGAGCTATGTTCATGATGGGAATTTTTATTGAGATTGTCTTAGAGGTAAAGTTTATGTTGAGGTGTTTAAATATGACACTCCCCTCATGGAAATAAAAAGGGTTGTAATTAGATGAATATGACGGCTCTAACTCAAACTGAACTATGAGATCACGTTTTTTTTACATTACACATTTCCATCAGTTGGAAATTAGTAATTTGATGAATTAAATAATATCCTTAGTAAATAGCTACCTTAATATACAATAGCAAAATAGGAAAACAGAGATAACTTCAATCTTCTCAAAGTCAAAACAAATGCCAGTTTCAACATTCAGTGAGTTGAACAAAATGAGTTCATAGTTGACATTACAGAAGTGTACAACGCATTTATATTTAAGGTTGTGACAGATGACATAATACATTCATACATAGGATTTATACAATGAGGGTTTCATGACCACATCTGAGATTATAGGTGTACTAGAAATAACCACTACAATCAATTTTGCCCACTACCATCACTGGGTCAACAAAGTAAAAAGTACTTTTGAAAACATACATTTGAATTCTGTGACAGAATAGAGGTAATGAGAATGGGAAATTAGATTTGTATTTGACCCATACCAAAAAAAACTGTAAAACAGCTGATCCTCAAAGCTTTGTCACTCAAAAAAAGACAAAAGCACTGCCCCCTAGTGGATAAATGTGGAATCGCTGTGTGAAGAAAATACTTTTACAGAGGATTTCTCCTGCACACTGTACAAAACATTAATATAGTAAAGAGAAGTGCTGCTACATTTACATCTACACAAAATAATGCTTAATATTCAGCATTATCTTAACATCAACTCTTAACATTTATTCATATAATGTTAAACAGTTGCACACAATATGTAAAAAAATATATATAAAACAAATCTTAATGATCTGAGCAGTTTCAGTGTTCATGTATGTACATTTTCATTATGTCCTGCTGTTATGATGCCAATATAAACAGTGTTTCCAGATAAAATAAAAAGCAACAATCAAACCCAAAGACATTTCAGTAGGTACGATGCTTTTGGACAGAACAGGGTCTATTTTTTCACGGGCCATAAAAGTCCTAAAGCATTATTAACAACATAGAAACAGCTCAAGAATGAGGCACTGGAGAGTTAAACACATTTACATACAATACAATTTAACCAAGAGATGTAGTGTTGTTTCCCCTCAAATAAAGTTCAAAGGTAGTCTACTGAGAAAAAGTAACACCATAACCATGTGTTGTTTTCTTGTCCAAACGCTTCAGATTTTCCTTCCACCTAGAAATAATGTAGGTGCAACTACTTGATTAAATCCCAACAATCATCTCTGCATCTATAACCACAAGCGGTTCAGATGGAACATTTTCCACAGTTCTTAAAGGGGACCTATCATGCAAAATGCACTTTTGTACGTCTTTTATACATGAATATGTTTCCCCTGTGTGTCAGGGAACTCACCAAGTGTCAGGAAAACACAACCCTCTCTCTTTCGTTCCATTACCCAAATCTCTAAAAACGGGCTGCAACGAATCTGAGTACAGGATGATACAGATTTTGAAATGTTCAGACGTCAGAAACAGGGAGGCTTCTCCGCCTATATGGGGTACCTCTACAACCTCACCAGGAAGCATGGAGGTTGCCGTGGGCATGGTACAGCACTGGTAGTAACAGCATGGGTAACAGCCATGGTAACAGCATGGGTAGACATGACGCTCGTGCCTCGCCCCCTCCTTTTGCAGGGGGGCGTGGGTCAGCTGCAGCTCTCTTGCCACAGAATCAGGCCCTGCAAAAACAGGGCTGGGAATAGAGCAAATAGAGCGAAATGAGGGCATGGCTACAAATGCATGATCTTGTTTTGGTATTCTTGAAAAAAAAAACTTCACAGACATTTAATATAGGTATGGCCCTACCCAATATATTATTCAAAATCAGTATAGCATGATAGGTCACTTTAAGAGCACCAGTTATAGCTGCTACAAGTTGTATCTTTTCAGAGAAAGTAAAATGAATAAGCCGTTGTGGACCTCTTGTGATTCTTTAGCGACCTTTTTCAGTAACTTATGTGGTGTGTCTGCTGTGGTGAGTGACCCCTCAGCAGGGTGAGGACAGACATGGTCATAGTCAGGGCATTTTGAGG